TGCAAGGCTAGTTCACCAACATGTCTATTCTCTTGCTTGAGTGTGAAAGTACATGGTTTAGTGACGACCTCTTATATTTTTAAATTTTAGAATTTTTTTTTATTTGGGAAGGTTCTTCTATAAAAATAGAACAGATATATATCTATCTATATCATTATAAATTGAGGGATTTAATGTTAGTGGGGTAATAAGTAAATTAGGTAAAACTTGTGCATAGATGAACAATTTGAAAATGTATAATCAATCGTAGAAATGTACATTTAATTGCAGAGGGCAAAATCACAGTTATAAAAGTATAAGCTTGTGAGAATACACACCTGCGTGCCTTCAGCAAAGTCTTCAGAGAAACTTTCATCAAATTCAGTCATTCTTAGCTTCATAGCTCTCTGGGCAGTCATCATAATCAGCGACCATTCATCCTGAATAGAACAAAATAACATGTCAAAATAGAATCAATCCAAATCCGATCGATGCATGCCCACACAAACAAGCTGATTTCTAAGCAAAAAACCACAAAAACGCATGTACCTCTTCACCCTTTGTATGATAGCAAGGGAGAGAAGAAACAAATGCAATCAATGATTATGAGCAATGACACAGGAAGGTTAGTTATTTACAATAATAAATGTGAATAAAGAAACACATACAGTTCCCATATGTTAAATATTTTATAATTTTGTTAAGGGGTAGTAAAATTGATACATTATATATAACTACATTTAATTTATTAGGCTCATTTTGTTGTAAATATATTACATATACCAAATAAAATTTGTGGGCTTCTGTCTCAAAGCAAGTCATCTGATATATAGAACAAATTGGTCACTCTTTCCTGCTTGAGAGGGAGATAGGGAGGGAGGGTCCATACTCACTTCCACAACATGTTCATCTTCTAACATTTCGCACCCTTGGATCACTAGTTTCTCATCACCTGCTTCAGCATTCCATTTGCTCCATGAATATGCAAAATGTGAGGCAGTGAGCGCCATCTGTTGGTAAGCATCCATCTCTGCAATCTCATTCTATAAATAAAAGACGTTGACATTACATGATAATATTTACTCAAGACTAAGGTTCAGCCCTCCCTCTATGGGACAATTTACAGAATTTACCCCCTTTTTTATAAAATCTTCCATACATACAAACTACAGATCAATTTCAATATTATCAGCCTTAAGCAAAATTTTTAAAGACAAAAAAATAAACGGCAGTATGGCTTCAGCAGGTATATAGCACAAATTTTGCACTAATCAACCTTGTTTATGAATTATTGGACAAAATTTATGGAAATTGTGTTCTTTGAATATTTCGACTTTACCAAGGTTTGATACTATTTTTCATAGAATTTCCTTATCTAAATTATAACACCTACGACAGTGATTTGCTGATGATACCAATCCTATTTCCCTCCATTGAGCCAGCTCCCCCCCCCCCCGACACTGAAGGAGAAACTTGTATGAGAAAGCACTCAAGTAACATTGACAATCTCAAATTAAATAAGATTTAAACAAGTCAACACTATGTACCTTGGTAAAACAATTGCTAAACAAACTTGTAGGCCTTATTGCATAAACCCAACATGCACTTCTTGCATTTGTACAATTCAATTATTCTTCCTCATTTTATGGCCAGGAGATTGTAGGGTAGTACATACATTTTGTACACAACCTCTTACAAAAATAACTTGTGATTTCAGAAAAAGAACTGTTGAAATAATCGCTACAAACTGTATCAAGTGTTTTCAACTACTGCAGAGGACAACGTTTTTGTTTCAATTTTAAATCACAAGGTAGCTATATAGTAATGTTGTTACTACATGTATATAGTACATGTGTGGAATGAGACCTGTAATTAACAGTACATCTATGACTATCTGATTTTATCTGAAAAATTCTACCTTTTCACTTATGCTGACATACTTCTTGGAATCGTTATCTGGAAAGAGGTCAACTCCAGCTGTACGCAGCATCTAATGAAATGAGAAATAACAGATTTTAGCAGTGTTCTTTGTATCAGTAATTGCAACATGTTGGAATTTTACTGACAATTTTTTTCTATTTTTGAATTAAATTCACAACACATCATATCTTGTTATAGGACAAATATACAAGCCATGCATGGCACAGTCATCGTTAGTTATCAAATCTAAGTTATAGTTTTGTTTATAGTAATATCTGAAATTCTTGGTTTTTGATGATTTTTTAGCACAAAAATGACCACCATTCGGCCATTTTAAATCAAATTAAACCAATACATCTATTACATGATGTATAATGAATATATAAAATTTGAACATCAGTCAAAGCATGGCAGAGATATGGCACAAGAACCACATTCATTAAAACAAAATGGCCACCAGTCAGCCATTTTAAATTTTATCTGAAAAACAAAATGACGTTCATCTATAATGTCCAACGTATGTAGAAAGTTTGAAAAAAAAAAATCCAACCGTATACAGAAATTCGCATTTTGATGATATTTTTGTAGAAAATGGCTGCCATTCGGCCATCTTGAATCAGGTCATGAAACAAATTGATATGCATATGTATAATATTATGCATTAAGAACGTGTCAAAATAGGTGAATACAAGACATCTTTGGAGACATCGCTAGTACATACTTAGAATTTGATGTATTAAAATTCATTTTTTTAAGAATCATAACAGAGGAGTAATATTCCAATGCTCATCTTGGCAATGATCAAACTTACTTTTATAAGTTCTCTAGGAGTTACCCATTTCTCCTTGTACTCTTCCAATTCAGTTTTCACTTCTGCATCTGCTGGTTGTCTGAAACAGCACAAGTCATCTTTAATCTCAATTTCTATTTCCACTATTGCTGCAATTATGGTAAGGAGGGCGTTGTTCATCTTGCGTGGTCTTAACTCCCAGCTTTGGAATGGCATGTTAATGTGCTTGTCCTGGATGCAAACCAGTGGTCCAAAGTTAATTGTTTTGAAGGACAATGTACGTTTATCTGCAAAAATTCAAAACATTGCATTGGTCAATTTTATATCCATCACTAACAGACAGAGGGTACAAAACTAACTCGCAATACACATCTACACCGAGTCAACTATTCAAGATTATATTCTATATTACCTTCATCATATTTGATGTCCGCAAAACCATCCAATCTCCAGTGCTTGCCCTCATGTGACCAGTATGCCATCTGTGGCTCTTCACAGAATAGTACATTTGCTGGAAGGCTGCAGGGATGAGAGGATTTGCACATTTTATAAATACCATGATCAACACCAAGAGCAATAATCTTAACTACTTTAGATAGCAATATGAACTTCACAACTTACGTGAAACTAAGTCCTACAGGCGGAGCACCTAAAGTTTCTGCAACAGCCGCAGCAGTAGCAACAGCTTTTGGGTCCAAGGTCTGTCCCATTGTCAAGGTTCCTGATAAAGTCTGACCCAATTTTGCATCACCGCCAGGATATGGTATCCTCTTTAATTCATTTGATACAACTGGTAGAAATTTATTATAATGATTAATTATCAAGAAACGAGCCATTGGGGTCGTACACCTGTTCTTGTATTTACCAGCATTCCTATGCTTTTTTGTACAAGTGCATGTACCAGTTCTACACCTAACAAAATAGGCAAATTGGCTGCCAGTTAACAATTAAAGAATTCATTGTGACAAATCAACCGAGTAACCCATTTATTTAGTTTGGCCCAAAATGGACAATACAAATTATGAGCAGAAATGTGCAATAAAAATATCAAGTTGCATCTTTGTGAAATAATATATTGCCTATGTACCAAGTCTCAATAAACTTATATGTTCGAAGTAAAAAAAACAAACTTATCATGATGACAGGACTGAATTTCATTAAGTATTTGGATTAGAATGTTAATTTACCTTGTGTCATTAACCAGGTTTTGACAGTCTTCGGTTGTGGCGGCAACTGTAATAAATCATAATGAATGACTCCACCCAATGCTTGATATTGCCTCATATCTACTACATCCTCATCTTCCTCAATTTCTTCCTCTTCCTCCTCTTCTTCAGGAGCAACTATAAAAAAGAAATGCTTTTAAATATCTAAATTCATGCACATTGGTGAATACTCAGTTCAATCTTTATATACGGTAGTATAATTTGTATAGAAGTTCAGAAAAGATATTTCTTTGTGGAAGAACACAATGTACAGGAACAAGAGTTTGTCGGAGATACAACAGCGTACACTTAAACCCAGCAGCTTAATGCAGGTTATGGCACAAGCAAATTACGAGACTACTACAAGTTTTTGCACCATGCAGTTTTAATATGAAATGCACCAACTATTTAGTAACAAGTATAGTACTATGCAAACCTGGCTCGGGTTCTATCTTTGCATCTTCACCAGTTTTTGCCTCGTCATCTTTTTTCTCACCATCTTCATCTTTTTCACCTTGTTTTTCTTCATCTCCAGCTGCATCCTACACAAAAGGAAAGTTTTATTAATTACCACACAAGACTAGTTTCAATAATTTCAGGTTACTTGAGAGTACAAGATTGGTTACCTCAGAATCTTGTTTCTGCTCATCGCCAGCAATGCCATCCTCTTCATTTTCTCCATCTTCCTCATCACCTTCTTTCTTCTCTTCATCTGGATTTTCTTCTTTTTCAGGTTCTGGTGATGGCGGTGGCTTCGGTAAAGGCTTTTTTTTCTTCTTTGGAAAGTACGTCCGACATAGATGAGACAGATGGTCATATTTTGTGTGGATAATACGTATTGCTATATCAGCTGTTGCTAGTTGTTTGGGAAGCTCAAATGCAAATTTCTGTTCCTCAAATTCAAAAGTTTTGAATCTATTTTAAGAGAAAAAAAAAAAAAAAAGTGTACAGATCATCAATGACACTGAAGGCAACTTATGCTTGCAGTTGATACAACTATTTGCAACAAATTCAATGGTAACAATACTAGCTAAAACTAGAATGGCAAAGCTCGATATGGTAGTACAAATGCATACAACAATCAAATGTGTGGTAACAAAATTTTCTATAAAATTTAATGATGGAATTCATTAACTTTAATTAATGTCCTCAAAAACATGCATCCAACAATCACATTTTCTGTGAAATGCCAGCTTGCTGAAAATAGTTAAACACATCTTTCTTCCGAATTTGCCAATTCAAGTTGTTTCTAATTCAGCAGACAGGCATGTACAAGTAAAGTGCATTAAGAGATTAACAGTTTTAAAGGTGTGCTAGTTTGTGATTTGAGCTTATTTATTGAAACGATTGGTAGTCATTTCAATGTGTTTTATAGCTACAAGATTGGTCTTGGTTGACTCCAATAAGTTCATCTATAGCAAACCCAACACAAGCATATCACTCCAAGTTGATCAAATCGAGATGCAGTAGACATTGAACTGAGGACCAGTTGCACAGTGAAGGAGGCATCTGCAAATTGCAACTTTGATTGGTTTTGATGCAATTCACCGCTTCATGTAGATTTCTGAATTACTCTTGTTACAGTAGAAATGATTAATTTACCTTGGGTTTTTATTGAGATTTCCCCACAGCATCATAATAATTTGATCGCTTTCTTTTACAATCTGCAAGTTGCTTGTTTCTGGATCTGCCTCAGTGGATGCATCCTAGCGAGTTGACAGAAAAGGCAATTAAGGCATGAAATTATTGAGGGGGGTCTAGTATGTTCAAATAACGTTATCTACAAACAATATTTATTACCAGGAATCATGACATTTTCTTGTGCTTAGTACTGGTGTACACTAAAATGAGCATTTTTTCATAATGAACACTCACAAAAAATTAAAAATCTAAAGCATTCTAATAAATAGGGGTTTAGAAAATAACCTAGTTGATCAGACTTACATCACAAGAAGTTTGCTTTTTAATTTTTTTTTAGGTTGATAGCAGCAGCAGAAAGAAGCATTTTAGAATACAGAAAGGGAAAGTTAATTGTAAATGTGGATAGTGTAATTTACAGATAGTGAAGTATTAAATAAAGATGCGATTCAATATAAATGTCAGTTGGAATTGATCAGTGAAAATAAAAATGAACAAAAAGTGAAGAGGAAAAGTAATCAACTGGTGGTCAAGCGTGACTGGTGGTGGATGACTTCGACTGCAAAATGCATCTCACTTGGAAATACTGAAATATGAACATTGAGTTAAATCACCAATGTCCATATGCCAGTACTACCAAGTAATATGCCCGACTACTTGCTGTCAATTGGTTGGCTTAGCTGCAACACTGATCATCCTGTCGTAAGTTGCGTTGCAAAGCTGGTATTATACAACTACCGGTAGATGCTTGCCTAGTATGTGATATGTAAAAGTAACTAAATGTTTCACTCAAGGTAGGTTGGCGATTATATGGCGAAATGCAAGTATATTGTTTTATGGGGTATAAAACTTGGGAAAACAGAAGCCCTGTAAATCACTGGGAAAGGAATCAAACAGTTTAGATGAATTTAATTAGGTTCACAACATTAAAAAAAAATGTAATAGCAATCATCAATGTGGAGGAAAAAAAAAGTGCAACCAAATAGTATAATTAAATGCAACAAAACTAGAACATTGTAAAATAGGTATATATACACACACACAAGTCTCTTTGATATAATCCTGGGATGGGAACATACACTAGAGGAATGCAACATGCTTGAATCCAGGGTTTAACAAGACTAAAACCAAATGGAACACTGCATGGGTTTAAAAGTTAAGATTTAACATTTATATACCATAAGAATATCCATTATGTCGTCTTCACTTGTTTCTGAAACTACATCGTCTGGTACTTGCTACAAACAATTTTGCAATTCAACAAGTAGCAAAATTTAGAGTAAAATCCAATAAAGGGACAGCACACTATACAAATCATGAAATCATTTGCCAAATGGCACCACACTGATTAAAATCTGAAAACTGATTTTTGAACACCAACCAACAAGGAAGGAAAGATTTGGGAAATTCACAATGAGTTTTCAATACAAAAGGACAATTTTCACATGCGGGTGCATCCAAACCTTTCGTGATTTTTATAAACCATTAAAAAATACCATGCAATGAATACTTTGAAGGATATCAATATTAAGGAGGCGAAAAGGGGGCAATAAAAAAATACCGGTTTGAGACTTTCAAGGGCAGCTTCATAAAAAGTTGTCTGAAGAAAAATAAAATATCAGAGCAATGAGCAAAAAATTAATGAACTGAAAACAAATTATGTAGTGAAAACTGATTCTGCAATAGCATCTGTTGCCAAACTCTGAATGACCCAGCTTAGCATACAACTTGTCATTGGGACCAGTGAATGCATTTTGTAGCATGATTTATCTAATATAGTCAGTTGCAAGCCTAGCTTCCTCACATGGCATACAATCAATCATTATACTGTACAGCCAGAAGGCTAAAGGGCCAATGATGCTATCATGCACTAGTTTAGCAGCTGTAAAACTCTACAAAATACCACTCCTTAGTTAGCAGTTGACTGTCACAATTCCATGACAAATTCATCAAATTATGAAGCCGAGCATTGCTACAAATGTCAGAATTGTCTTAATTTATTCTCATAGATAATACATTTCCATTTATTCAATGAAAATCTTAATGCACTGGTCACTAACTGATGCAAAATTTGGAATTTCATGCCACCTTCAGTCATGTGCATGTACAGCATTAGAATTCTGAAGAAAAAAATGTCACTGCGTTTAGTTTTAGGAAATCTCGTAGTGCATGTACATTTCAAAGATTATAAATTCATTACGGTAGTTTGTGAAGGAAACTACTGCATATTCATCGACTACATTACTTTTTATGTAGGTCTTCTGCAAAAATAAAAGACAACTAATAATCTAATGCTACACAGTATTTCTGACAATTGCACTATTTCTTCTGGCTAATGTTTCAAACAAGAATGCATTTGAATAGATCTTTGTGCATATCAAATCCTGACTTTTTAGACCCCATGACCTACAACGTACATCAATATTATCCATAAATTGCTGTGTTATTTGCCCAAGGCACACCAATCATAGAAACTCACCTTTAATAATTCCATAGTTGCAGTGTCTAGTTTCAATGAAAGTAGATTTTCTAACTCGACAATGGTGTCTTTATAGTGTGATATCTCTTTATCACTAAGCTCTTCTTCTGGGGTGTCTTCAAGAAGGTACCACAACTCTTCTATCAGCTATTGGTAGAATAGACCAAATGTTGCTATTGTATATTAGCAAAATAACTATTCACGCAATTTAACTATGTGGTATAATAGTAAATATGCAAGTCAATGACACCTCCACACTTTCAACAGAAATACATCCAAATGGTTCAATTTCTTATTAAATTCTTCTAACAGGATGTCAATTGGCACTTTTACAGTGAAATACTTATTAAGTGCCGTATAAGATTTGTTTTTGATGTCAAGTGACTTGTAAGCTGGTGGTATGTATAGAAATGTAGTGCTAGCATATCTAGTTGCCTTGAGTACTTACCACCCCCCCCCAACACGATAACTATTAAATCTAGTTTCACTGAAAAATAAATTCTCAATACAATATCCGATTATTTCCTCAAGTTCATATGTCAACTATAGGAGATAAGGGATACAGCACACACCCCACTTTCAATAGGATATATGCAGGAGTTTCATCTAGACCTAGACTAGCTATTAATAATTGTATACACAGGAAATAGGACCAATTTAAATTGATAGCAATAAATCAAAAGCATTCATGCTTCAGTAAATATTAGTACATTACTGTCAAATATTTGCTTGATTTTAATGTTCTTTAATGACTGCAGAATATTACAAGAAAGGAAACATTTTGTTGATATAAAAGACGTGAACATTATGAATCAGTGAATCAAAATCTGACAAGTTTATATTGTGGAGTGATTTTCGAATTTTGGCCAAAAAATGAATGAATAATTTAATTTAGCAGGAAGAGTCAAAAATTATCAGGGAGTGGATGGGTGAAAAATTAGAAAAGAACAGCTACAGAATATTTAATTAACACTAGTCTTTCAAATACTTCACTACTTTCAATCTGTGGCGATCACAAAATCAACTAGGAAATAAACACCATTAGGAAAATTTAAATATTATATTGAAACAATGCACAAAATGCATTGTCTACAAGAAAAATTGAAATATGTACTTCGCGACTCATTTTGTAAATAAACACATAGCATTCATTTTAATAGTTAATCCTCAACAAAACCGATAACCAACAACTGTGTGCAGCAAAATACAGCCAGTACAAAATGTATATACCTTAAAAATAATCAGCTGGCTGGGCTACCATATTTCAAAGCTGGGCCATGATAATATTTAGTTTATGCACAAGTGTAAACACAAATACAAAAATTCAGTAAGCTGACAAATTTTAGCCCCATCAGCAAGAATTAGTCTGCGCCTTGAGCTATTGTTAAAATTAAGCAAGATACATTATTGATTTTAACATAACATTGAGGTTCCGTTATCAGCATTGAGCAGCATTTGTTGATTCACAGTTCCTCTATCAGAGGGACTTTGTTGATTACATCGATTTCAATGCATTTTTTTTTAAATATTAAAATCTGCAATAATTAAACACTTTAATCCAGTACCTGGTAGCACAATATTTTCCCCCGACATTTTATTGAAATAAAAAAAAAAATTCCCAACAGAAAGTTATTCTAGTTGGACTTATTGTGCAGTACTAAATTTACATTATTTACCACATACATGTACCTTATGGGTTTGTAACCTCAAATTTGCTGTGCTGTGATGTACTTACCCGAAAGGTCGATTTGCTCTCCTTCAGTACATAGTCAATGGTATTTTTTGTGTCATCTTCTCGCCACAGGTTCATATAGGTGTTAATCTCGCCTGGATTAGTTGGATCTGGGCTACCATCACACAGCATGTACCGCTCCCACTATAGTCAAGTGACAGTTATACACCAGTTAAAAATTGTACAAAATTTGTAATATACGAGGGCATGATGACCCCCAACACTTTCTGGGAATACCGTATTTACACCAGAAGAAGCACATCTCCAATACAATCACATAAATATAGTATTTATTGTATACTCGCGACCATAGATGGATCATTTATGCAAGTGCCTCTAGTAGAAGCAATATAGTATTGTGCAACAGCAATAAAATCAAATGAGCACAACATTTATCCGGCTTTGCTTGCTAGATAAATTAGCAACAGAGGTAAATATTACAAAGTAAAGTAAATATTGGACTAAAATCAAAAAAGGCAAAGCTAGCAGAGAACAAGTTTTAGATTCTGCATTCTTTTGATAAATAATTAAAATTTGATAATACTGGTTATTTTGTATCCTTTCAATGATCAGGACATTGGAAATGGGGGGCAGGGCGAGGGGAGGGGTCAAGTACATGTTACAGGACCTAGTAATTTCACAGGCTTCACATGCAGAAATGGATTGATGCAACAGGCATGCATTTTAAATTTAACTCATTCTTTTCATACCATGCACAAGACTCCTTTATAAAACATATGCACAGAAAGATGCCTTGCAGTATTAGACTTTAAAAAAAAATTGCAATTATTGAGTTTGCCATATTATGAATATCTGGCTAAATTATTGATTAATTTATCTACATTAAAAATGACAAACTAAAAATACGACGCTCAGCAGGGAAGCAAGGATAGATGCAGAAAGAAAATACAAAAGTTGATATATTTCATTTTCAGCACGACAGTGTTAAAACACAACAAGCAGCCTGTCGGCTGAGATAGCTCTGCTGTTAGCAATGCACATTTCAATTAAAGAGCTGAAGACATCATTAGAAAATGAACAATATGTATTGTAATCAGACAAACAAAAAGTCTAAAATATCATTTTTTACCAAAAATGACAAAAATATTCACCAAAATTAGAGAATTGAGAATATCATCACAAAATGAACAAATCCAAGGGAGGTCCACATGTAGTACCTATATATGTAATATCAAAGCAATTGCGGTTTTTAACAAGAAGTTTAAAATATCACTTTTTACCAAAAATGACAAAAATATTCACCAAAATTAGAGAATTGAAGATATGATCATGAAATGAACAAATCTAAGAGGTCTACCCAAGGTACATATATACCAAGTATCAAATCATTCAGGCTTGTAGTTTTCAAGAAGAAGTCGAAAAAGTAAAACATTGACACTGACAATCACTCACATGATAAGCTCTGCTCGACAAAGTCAACAGCGGAGTTAAAAATGAATACAAGCCATTAGTGCCATTTATACACAATCGACGATTCTCTCTCATCCTATCTGGCATTTATCACTGTTGTATAGAAGATGCTTATTTTAATATTCACTTGTCAATTTAGAATATGAAAGGCATGCTAACTGCATACAAAATATAATGCACATAACCCATTTATAAGATTTTTTTAGTATTGTATATCCTTGAATGCTAGATTTCTTTGAAATTGACAGTGGAAAAAAAAAAAAATTTTTCTTGTAGCTTGATAATTCTATGCAACTCTTACAAGCGGTCTTCATTAAAGAAGATTAAACAAACTACAACACACCAATGCAATGACATAACACAGGCTATAGTTGCATTAGGAGAGATGAAACAATCTATTTTTAAACAATTGATAGTCAGCAAATGCATTAATCATATCCTAACCATAGCCTGATTGTCACCACAGCAACAAGTGTTTCTTTTGTTGCGTGAAAATGGATTCTATCAAACTTAAAAAAGAATGGATAAATAATTTCACCGTCCATGAAATTCAATTTTGCTGTCAATTTTATATAGATCGAGCATTGTCGAACAGCAGCCAATCCACATGATGGCAAGATGTAATGCAATCACTTTAAACACAGGGTCACAGAAATAAAATTTGCAAACATGTCATGTTGTACTGAGATTTTCTACTAACCTTTGCTTTAGCTCGCCTTTCTGCATGTTGATTCTGCAAAGCTGTCAAATTGCCTTCCAAGATTGAGTTTAATTGTCCTACTTCGGCAGCATGTTGTTTCTTCTCCTGAAACGGCAAGTAAAAAATAGACGAGAAGTCAGATGCACAAGGACTACAAGACAGAATGGGGTGAACAACTACCGGGTAATTTCATGGACACTACATGTAGTCTAACATTCACCATGAAAAACAGAAACTCAAAGATAAAAAAAAAAAAAAAAAAACAATCAATGACAGGCAAGTCAGAGGTTTTCAAAATTACAAGAAGCCACACCAAAAAAACAGCAGGCACAATAACCAAAAATGAGACAAAAAATGCTAGCAGATTCTATGAAAATAATCTCATTATAAACCAGACACATGATGGTTAGTAAAAAGATAACTAATTGGATATATTCAATATTTCATAGATATTAATCATCCCAAGAGCATTTGCCTTTCTGATGATATAAAATCAAACAAAGACATATTCCCTCCACAGGTAAAAAAAAAAAAAAGAAATACTGAAAAGCAAAAAGCCTCACCTCAGCATCAATTTTATCCCGCTCTTCTCTTTCTTGTTTCTCCCTTTCCTGACGTTCTTTCTCTTCTTCCTCAGCCTTCAGTCGTGCTTCTTCTATGAAATGAAAGTAGTGAAATGAAACCTCAGTGCTAGCTATGGCATTATATACCCTCTATTGTTCCTATGCAGATTTCTCCCAATCATAGTTATGTAACATGCAAATTAACAAAAACACAATGCAGGCTTCAAGTTGGCTTTCACATTTTTAATGATGCAGGGATGCAAGGTGGCATTCATTCTTCTTTTTTTTTGATCTGGAATTTCAAACCTGCCTTTATACATGGGTAATTCATTAGATGTCTATTGATGATAGAGATTTATCATATTCTCCACACAGAAGCTACTGATGAAAATGCTTCTATATTGAAATGCAATTTCGGGGTAACCATTAGTATTCAACACAGAGTTGGCATTATTTATTTGACAGGATGAAAATTTTTATGGAAATTCAAAAAACAGAAAAACCAAATTAGACCTGCCTCATATATTAAAATTAAATTCTGACTTTTAAAACTGAACACTCAATCTTGTAGTGTGTGAATATTATAGCCATCATTACTGACAGATACAGCTGTTGTGTTGTGTATTTCTCAGCACAGCATATTGTTAATCTTGGTTTTTGTGGGCTAGGATCTAGAGAATTGACATAGATAATGTTATCAACAGCTCCAATGAGATGATGACACCTGGCAGAATATTTCAAAGTTCATCACACCTTCAAGGTTATTGACTGAGCTGGTACCATGGTAATGACAGATCTACATTAAACAATTAGACAGGTGCTTGATAGTTTTTATACTCAGGACGAGCAGCATCTTTACAATTTAGTTTTCTCCAGGTAAAACAATTAACAAAATTGAGGATATCTTAATCAGATTAGTATAATATAAAGTATTAATGGCAAACAATCACTTAAAAAATTTATTGAAGAAACTATTCAACCCAACACCACAAATTTTCAATTCAAACAAAATAAGTGGGTTATGCAAAAATACTCATTTCAACATCAATATTGCATCAATTTTGACAGCTGCATCACTATTCAAAGTTATATTTAAATAAAATGTGTATATTTTTACTGTCACCAGCATGTAAATGAATTTTGAGGGTCAAATGTATAATAATCAGTGATGATGAGTATATAAAGCACCTGTGACAGAAATGTCACTGCAGTCAAACAGCAATGGCAGCTGGGCAATATGCAAAATTATAATTATGTATTTATATTAGATACCTGTCATACATCAATCAACATTATAAGATGTTATATAGGATACTGAACAAAACAATATTTACAAGGCCACAAATGAAATTATTAAAAATAGTAGCAGCCTGTCAAGTTGGAGAAATTAACTGGCTGTCTCCATGATATTGTTAATATTAAAACCAATAAAACTGAGATAATATGGTGTCTAGAAGTCGATTCAATATTCTTGCCTTTCTAGAATTACAGAAAGGAGACTTTACAATTTACTTGTTTAAAGGGAAATATTTTACACTTTAATATCACTTTTGACTGACTAACACCTATTCAGACAATTCAGTAAACTTCATCTTGATATATTTATTCTACACATCCACTGAGGGGTAGGCGTTTGCAAATAAAACCAACTTGCCTTAGGTGAAATCCGCCTGTATTAAAAATCTGGAGCCCATGATTTAATCCTGGCTGCTATAACATATTCATTCATTATCTTAATACCAAGTCAGCAATAAAAACAATTCATAATTTTTTTCAAAAACTGTAAAACATATTGGTGCAAAATTTGGCACATTTTTATAATTTAATAATTCTGGAGAGAATGAGCATACCGCTCCTTTCAATGGAATAACAACTAGTTATCTTCGTCTATTTTTATTCAAACTGATTAAATATGCAGCTAATTAAGCAATTTGTTTTTGTACAATTGATTGTACGTGTATGTTGTACCAGGTAAGTGATCTAAAATCATGATATTTCTTACATACAGACAAATTTGGTAGGACAAAGTAAATGTAATTCACATAAAAGATAAATTTACTAAGCACGTCATAGTGATATCATAAATTTTATGCGGCATATGTGCATGCAAATAAATATATAGCTATCAAAAGTACAAATGTAGAGGGGAAAAAAATGCTAATAATAACATTTCATAATAAGGTTATGTAGATAAGTAAGTTGAAAAGACTGGTATGCAGAGGAAATAATTCAACATCCACGTTACACATTAAATGTCTGATATGTGGTTTAAAATGATCCAAAGAAGGGTAGGATCAAAGACCATTTACAATTATATTTATCACTTCTATTTGAATTTGAAATGCAAATATTATAATACACTATACTATACTTTTGAGCAAGCAGTCTGCTATTTTGTGAATAAGAGTTGCAATTTTGATGCTGAATTACATTGTGGTTGCCGTATAATCACTCACATGCAGCCATACAGGAGAATTAGCAGATGTCTGTGTAGCAGTGGCATGTCATTTACCTAACTGTACATTGCCCCATATGATACTTGCTTGATTAGCTGGATATGTCATTCACAGAACCATTAGCAGAGTTTACACATTAACTAATAAACAATTTCATAGTGTGTATACTGCATACATATGAATTGATAAGTTGTTTGCATGTTACGTGACATGGTAACTAATCTACATTAACGATAACCTTAGTAATAAATATCAAGAGATAGATACTATCAAAAAATGATATACATCAATAAGAATACTTATGAACTTTGTCACCGAATGAGTCCATTAAAAGTTGTTTTATGACATATTTGTCCTACTACATGTACTAGCATTAATATACAGTAAATTCTTACAGTTTGGGGTTCAAAATTAAGACTGAGATTTTTTTGAAGCAATAAGAAATTAATGACATATGTAATTTGTTCTGTGGCAAAACACAAGTCTTAGACAAAAGAGTTTCCAACAGGTTAAATTCAACTACCATAAATACACTCACCTTCTTCTTTTGCTTTTCTCTCCGCTTCCTCTTTTTTCTGTTTTTCTTTCTCAGCTTTGGAAAGTTTACCCTTCTTACCACTTTTGGCTTTTGGTGGCTAAAAAAATAGAATTGACCTGATATAATTATCTATTTCTATACCCATTAGACCAGCTTCAGAAGATCCAAAAAAAAGTGACTAAAAACAAAATTAATTTAGGATCATTCTAACTGTCAAAATGAATAATCATTTATAAAATTGAGAATCCTGGGTCAAATATAATTATTCTAATATAATTAGGTACCAGTGGGAAAGCACTGTCTCCAGAGCCAAGTGAATCGAAATAACTCACTGAAGCATATGATGAAAGTCATCCCAGAATAGACTGAGAAAAGCAATTTATAATATAGGAAGACTCTATTAAAAATGTCTAGATTCATTGTAACGAATATATAGAGGAATCACAATCTTATTGGAGAGTTTTAGGGTTGCATTATATCTTCTATATTTTAATGAAGGGTATGTAGTAAAATGATGTCAGAGTTGAATTGGAATATCTGTACCAGTTCCTGATAAATTTTGCTGCACAGTAATTTTTGTTCGCCATACCAAAATATCATGCATCATGGCTGTTTCAAAATCTGGTTCTGCTGACTGCTAATATAACAACTTATATCAAGTATGTAATTCAATGAGTTAAAAAGAGTTGACCAATACAATTCAGAAATAAGGAGCCTTAATTCCAGTACAAAAATAATGCTTCACACTGATCAACTTTAAATTTTATAATATAATTGTCTTCAAATTTTCAATTGGGAGTTCTTGTGATGACTTCCTAAAAATGCTGATCATACGGTCACAAATATACCGTACAAACAGGTACTACCAGTATATGTGTTCATGACACATTTACTTCCACATGCAAGCTTCAAAAAAATGCAGACAATACATCTTTTAAGTATAGAATATAAGAAAGTGTTTACAGCACATCTATGTTGACCACTCCCAGAAGTCAGTTGAACTTGTTGTTCACAGGCAGCAAACAAAAATGTGCTAGCAAATGTGGATTTATGGACATTCCAAATACCCAGTCAAATGTATAATAATTTATGACTATGCTGATAAAAGGAAATGGTTTTATGATGAATTTAAACAGCATAACAGTGTACACTCATTTTGAAAATTTGGCATATCAAAATCCCTTAAAGCTGAACAATAACAATATCCAACAACAAATGCACAAAGTAGTATATCGGTAGATACACATATGTACCTCCATCTAATTTTGAAAACAACAATTAAATTTATTAATTGAATCTTATAAGTGCAAAAAACAAATAGGTTTCATGTTGACACATGTTGAGTGAGCGATAATATTTCATGTCTTAACTGGTGTATAATAATTGTTCACTGTGAATAGTATACATCATTATTATACATCTACCACTGAAAAGAATAGAATTTACTGTTCCATGAATAGCTGTATTATTATTATGCAAAAGCACTATAGTGTGCAAATGTATCTAACATTTGAAATTATGTGATTATGAAGTCGTCAAGATAAAGTTAAAAATTAACAATTCATTTATCAGAATTTTTTGACAACTTTAAAAATGCCCACCTGCACTTAGTCATATGGAATAACAGAAAACAATATTATGAACCTGTAACCTGAAATTAGTTCAATCATCTCAGAGCAATGTTGTCGACACATTCAATGAATGTAACTCAATATGTATGGTTATCATCTCAAGGTTGAATAAAATTAGCTCAATCATCTCAGAGCAATGTTGTCATCACATTCAATGAATATAACCCGATATGTATGATCATCACCTCAAGTTTGAATGAAATTAGTCCAATCATCTCAGAGCAATGTTGTTGTCACATTCAATGAATATAACCCGATATGTATGATCATCACCTCAAGTTTGAATGAAATTAGTCCAATCATCTCAGAGCAATGTTGTGGACACATTCAATGAATATAACCCAATATGTATGATCATCACCTCAAGTTTGAATGAAATTAGTCCAATCATCTAAAAGCAATGTTGTTGACACATTCAATGAATGTAACCCAATATGTATGATCATCACCTCAAGTTTGAATGAAATTAGTCCAATCATCTAAAAGCAATGTTGTCGACACATTCAATGAATGTAACCCAATATGTATGATCATCACCTCAAGTTTGAATGAAATTAATCCAATCGTCTCAGAGCAATGTTGTCGACACATTCAATGAATGTAACCCAATATGTATGATCATCACCTCAAGTTTGAATGAAATTAGTCCAATCATCCAAAAGCAATGTTGTTGACACATTCAATGAATGTAACTCGAAATGTATGCTCATCACCTCAAGTTTGAATGAAATTAGCCCAATCATCTCAGAGCAATGTTGTCGACACATTCAATGAATGTAACCCATTATGTATGGTCATCACCTCAAGTTTGAATGAAATTAGTCCAATCATCTCAGAGCAATGTTGTCGACACATTCAATGAATGTAACCCAATATGTATGGTCATCACCTCAAGTTTGAATAAAATTAGTCCAATCATCTCAGAGCAATGTTGTCGACACATTCAATGAATGTAACCCAATATGTATGATCATCACCTCAAGTTTGAATGAAATTAGTCCAATCATCTAAAAGCAATGTTGTCGACACATTCAATGAATGTAACTCGAAATGTATGCTCATCACCTCAAGTTTGAATAAACTTAGCCCAATCATTTCAGAGCACTGTTGTCGACACATTCAATGAATATAACTCGAAATGTATGCTCATCACCTCAAGTTTGAATGAAATTAGCCCAAACATCTCAGAGCAATGTTGTTGACACATTCAATGAATATACCGGTAACCTAATATGTATGATCATCACCTCAAGTTTGAATGAAATTAGCCCAAACATCTCAGAGCAATGTTGTTGACACATTCAATGAATGTAACCTAATATGTATGGTCATCATCTCAAGTTTGAATGAAATTAGTCCAAACATCTCAGAGCAATGTTGTCAACACATTCAATGAATGTAACCTAATATGTATGGTCATCATCTCAAGTTTGATTATGAATAGATTATAAATATATTCATAATGGTCAAGTTAATATTATGTAATTGCATCACAAGACAATAAGATGGTAGAAAGAATACACATATTATTTAAACATGAATAATATCATAGAGGCTATAAATGATCGGAAGTAGCATGGCAGAAGTGTTGACTGTGTCAATTTTATCAAGCTTCATGTACTATTCAACTTGTATATTAAAATCAAAATGTTATGTCTTTGTGTCTGGCAATACATGTACATAATTGTTTTTTACTTTATGACACAGACTTTTTTGGCAAATAAGTTTATAAGCAACTCGTAATTGCATTTCCATTTCTCACCTTATGAAAAAATGATAAGAAAATTCAATCCTGGGGCCGATATATTCTACTTACTTGAGTCATTAGGTTGTTACAGTTTAAACTTAAAGTTTCGTTGCCTATTTTTAAAGATTATGAAGTATCAGCCATGAACCAAATTAAGAAGTTATAGCATTTGTTTCTGTGTTGAACCATAATGGATTTTACCACTCATTGGCCAAGTCATTTTCTGTTTAGGATCCAACTGAGCATGCAATTTCTTTCAGGGACTGTTCACTTACAAGTGTCAAGTTATTAACAGAAGCTGGGTAATAACAAATTCACAAGTACCATAATCCTTCTATTAATTGGACCTTTCTACTACATATTGCAGTATGACCTCCTGATTTTTGCTAAATAATATTTTATTTTCTTCCAACAATTCAACCAAATGGCAGGAAATTGCGACATTCAAATGCTATCAATCCAATGCTTATTGATAAAACTAATTATACTTTTGAAACTTTCTGTTTTCATGTTTAACACTAACACTATTTTAAATGAATTACTTCCACTGACATCTGCGGTCATGTTAAACAAGTCGTGTTGCTCTCTCTCTCCCTTTCAACAAGATTTCTGCAGCCATTTGTGAATAAGAGATATTATTGGATTATGGTATAGCATGTTTCTGTAAACTAAACTGATTACTACTTTCATCTATGATTGATATCTTGTTGCTTTGGGTCCTTATTGTCAAATGAGATATGTGACAGATAAGGATTTGTCATTAACTTGCAAATAAATGTAGCAGAACGTGATAAGGATCAGAATGAATAATTTTGAGAGAAAACTGAGGAATTTGTGAAGTCAGTCAATTGTTGTCACCCTTCATTCAAATTTCAAGGAAATAAATAAAAAAAGAATAGACATAGGCAATATGATTTAAAAAAACAGTACCCAGTACAGTACTTTAACAAAGCCTTGAAAATATGAATATGGTATTTATAGCTTAATTCCTTAAACGATTAACAGTTTATGAGTTATATGTACTGATGGTTCCCTTAATCCAAATACAAATCATGCAAAAATTTATGTCTTGCTTCAGTATGTGCACTGTCCTCAAAAAGACTGTGGTTTGTGCAA